CGAATTCAACGCCTCTCCTCGTCTTGGAACCATAGTACTAACTATATATCCGGTGCCGTAATAATAATGACCTGTTTAAAGAGTTTATTAAATGATATTGACATCTCCGAAATTGCTAATGTATAAACACGAATCTTATTAAAACATCCAAAAGTTACAACACCGCTAGTCAAATTGTATATTTGTGTCTGTTTGCCCGTGTCGAGAGACACGTGATCATGATCATGACACACAAGATCAGGCAATGTGATCATGAAACATGAAATATGATCATGAAATTAAATAGTGATAATAATAATAAATACTAAGATAGATTCGTCCCATCCGACGAGTTTGCCGATCACTGTCATTGTCACAGTCTCAGAAATTCTGGCAGGTACAGGCGGAGAAGCGAGCTAAAGATAAGTATATCTCTGCGCGCCAGTTCCGCTGTTGAAATGTATAGAAGCCGACAGGGAACTCATCGTGCTGCCGTCTCTAATCTGGATGAGCTCACATAATCAAGTTTAGCTCTGTATTCTCCTAAAATGTCCTCAACTCTGTTTAGAACCGAATCGATCAGTTCTAAACAAACTTTTAACAACATTATACACTCTGATAATAGAACTTCCCTTCCCCCTTCTGATGGCACGAGATTGTATCCGTACTATATTTTCCCGGCGTCAAAAAAATCACCGTCGATGGATATATATAAATCTACAGTGGTTTTTACGGATGTTCCGTTATAACTACTGAACCATGCATCCGATTGACTTGAAACTTGGTATCCATGTAGAAAATACATGTACTTAATGGATAGGCTAATATTTACGAGTATATGAGTGCTGGATTCCTACACCAGTTGCGGGTGCGTTAATGATGAGAATATTTGTGGGGGTGAGAAACAATAATGTTAATTTTAAATGTCCAGCGAAGCGGATGGGTACAGCTAGTGACTTATAAATGTATATCGAATATGTAATCTGGACTATCTGTGCTGCTTTTTGCTTAAATGGATGAACGAGTTTACGGCCCACCTGCTGTTAAGTGCTTACCAAAGCCCTTCGACATCAACAAGATAAATGCCGCCGCTTACCTTGAGACATGAGTTCTAAGTCTCAGTTTTACAACGGCTTCCTCAACCTTTATACCAAAACGCATTACTGCTCCGCGGCAGTGATAGTAGGTGGCGGGTACCTACCCATGCGGGATCATAAGACGCGCTACCAGCAGTAATGACCTGGCAAACTTTGGCGACGAAATTTACTTACCTCCATTAATTAAACCACAAAACAAACAGATAAAGGACTATAAATCCAAATGATGAATAGGCAAGCTCATTCGGTGGATTCGAATTGTAAATTGCTTTATTTGTGGTTGGTATCTTGTGGTCACGTCCAGATTTAGACGAATAACATGCATATATTTAGTGGACGGCCATTGTTTTCAAATCTTAGGAGACTACTTTGGGAATAATAAAGCCTCCTTTTACGGTTTTACTTGTGACTAGCGGTCCGCTCCGGCTCCGCTCGGGTCTTTAACAAAAATTTCAACGATATTTGACGGTTTTATTTTTTTAAATAACAGAAAACTTATTGCGGCATAACTATAATAGTTACACATATGCTGTTGCGACACTTTTTGTAAATAATAATGTGTTCCACAAAGTCGTAATACATTATTTTATTCTATCATTAATACTTTTCGCAGGGCACGCGATGTAAAAAATATTTTAGCAATGTTTTTACACCTTGGGTTACATTATTGGTGTTTAAGTAAGGATCCCTAATTTTTTCAAAAAAAGATTATATGTAGTGTATGTCACTCGGAAATAGTGTAGCTTCCAAACAGTAAAATAATTTTTCAATTCGGTTCAGTAGTTTCGGAGCCTATTCAATACAAACAAACAAACAAATCTTTTCTCTTTATAATATTAGTATAGATTACGAGCATAAACTACTCAAAACAAAATATGGCCCACCGTATCTTTGTCCCATAATTTATAAGGGATGGGATATATTAAATTTATATATATAGAAGTTTTTACGATTAGTCAACGTTAAATTATGGCTTTACATATTATGTAAATGCAAAATAGCATTTGTCTATAAACAAACTAAAATCAACTTTAAGGAATACTAATTAGTAACAATGATTACTACTATCTTTCGCAATCAACATTTTATCTTATACATATATGTACATCATTTTATCATATAAATTAAACTAATGCTCAATGTATCATGTTATCACAGTGATAATTTGTTTGAAAATATGAGAAATAATAATATAGAAAGGTATATTTGTAAGAAGCCATATAGTATTTGGTGGCTTTCACATTACCGCCAACCTACCTTGAGACATGTTTTGCGGCCTCTGATGGCGAACTTATGTTGAAACTGATAATAATTTATTGTATTTATTTCGTTTTTTTTTTATTGCTTAGATGGGTGGACGAGCTCACAGCCCACCTGGTGTTAAGTGGTTACTGGAGCCCATAGACATCTACAACATAAATGCGCCACCCACCCCTTGAGATATAAGTTCTAAGGTCTCAGTATAGTTACAACGGCTACCCTACCCTTCAAACCGAAACGCATTCCTGCTTCACGGCAGAAATAGGCAGGGCGGTGGTACCTACCCGTGCGGACTCACAAGAGGTCCTACCACCAGTTTTTCGCCAATCTTACAAATAATTAATACGGATTTTACGGTTTAATCTCGTCTACGGTTAGCCGTTCGCGATCACGTAAACTATAAAAAGTATTCGAAGTTGTCGGAACTAATGTAATGACAATAAAAAACGCTAAATCAAACCCGTAAAAGATGCGTAAAAGTAATTTGAATTATATGACAATTTAATGTTTACGACTGTCCTGAATGCACGAAGGCTTCACAACGGAATTCGACAGAATGAGATATTTCTCCATCGTGGAAGACTTTCGTGAACGTATAGCACCTTTAGAATCGAAATGGCTTAACTAAAAATTGTAAGAAAATGAGTTTTATATGTACTTTGAACGACTTATAAACATGCACTCTATCAGTTCATAAAATTATTATTGTTAAATTAAAAATTAAATTCATATTTTAGTCTAGAACAGGACAAAGTACACTTTCCGTCACTTTTAAATCAAGCCTTTACCTTAAACTTTAAAGTATGCGCTTAAATTATTAAAATCGAAACTGAAAAATTACAATTCTTCAATTACATTTTTTGGCGTTTACCAAAAAACAAGAATTTTGGATTAAGCCACTTCAAAGTTCAATTCTAAAGGTGCGGTATTCTCTTTCTTTTTTTTTGCCGTTGTAGGCAGACGAGCATGCAACCCACCTGATGATGATTGGTTACCGTCGCCAATGGACTTCAACAATACCAGGGGCAGAGCCAAGCCGCTGCCTACCGTATGTTAAGTAGGTGTTTTCTTAAAAAGCGATACCTACTAACTAAAACCCTGAACAGCGGCTTGTGTGTTTTTCCTACCTATAGCTAGTAACCTCGAAGGGTTATGCTAGCTATAGGTTGTGTTAGTCGTCTTCGGGTATCAAAATCAAACCCGCAAAACACTTTAAGTTGAAGTTAATGACTGGTGATTGGGCGCGTTGTAGGCACAGCTAGGTACCACTATCCTGCCTATTTGTGGCGCGAAGCGGTAATGCGTTGAGACTCTGACCTCATGACTCAAGGTATTCACATATTCATTTTCTATTGGGTTCGGAAACCACTAAAGATCGGGTCAGCCTTGAACTTTGCCGACTGTAAGAGCATTAAAAGAATTGCGCATACATCAAATGTTTGCCCAAATACGACCATAATGGTATACCAATACGGCATGCCGGAATACAAACACAAAAAATTCAAACAAAAATATTAAACTGTCAGGATTGTCGAAAGTCAATAAAACAATTTCAATCGCAAATTCGTTCAAAAACAATATTTATTTATTAAAAATATCAATTGATCTGTAGCAAGTATAAATTAAAAAAAAAAAAAAACAACATTTGTGTCCATCACGCATTCGTTACAATAACTAAATTTTCAATATTACAAATAACTGTAATAATATCTGTGCAATTTCATAAAACAACTAACTACAAACGCCTTAATCCCAACCGTATTTGTGGGATAAAAATTTGTCAAATTCATTTAAAAAAAAACTTTCAATGTTACAAATACAGCTTTTCTTGTTAATTCATAAAAATAAGTTTTATATACAGGGATTAAGGCATATTACAATGGCACGATGCGATTTATTACTAACTAATGTTATAATTTAAGTAAATATACACCTTAGGCATAAAAATCGTTGCGCGTAACGTTGTAAAGTACTTACGAACTAAAATTTAGCACCTATTATATTAATTCATTAAAAATTAAGTACTAAGCAATTTTTAATTTGAAGCATTTAATTTATCAACTCACATTTGAGTCGACTATTATCAAAGCCGGCAATGTGACTTTTGGACAATTATTGGTAAATCAGAAAAACGAATTATTGACTTTGTATTCCATTGGCAGTCACAAAACTCTTCTGAACGACATCTTAGATAAATAACAGGTTAAGTATTAACCTTTATTTAATGCAGGTTTTGAACCGTATTCTTTGAAGGAGACGATTATATTCAAATCAATCTGTATTGACATATCAATAACATTTTTTTTTGTCCAAATGCACAGACTGCCACCTTTGATAATAGACGACTCATTTGCAGTCGGGCATACTCTAGTTAAGGGATACGGATACGGTACCGATATATCGGTGATATATACTTGAATATTTGTAATAAATCGGTATCGATACTCGAGATACGGATTAGGGGGAGGAGAATTCAGGAAGGAGGATACGAATAGTGCTGTCGAACATTCGGGAAGTACCAGTAATGTTCGTAGTGGTAGTTGTTGATCATAATGCTGGTGTGTGATTGTGTGGTTGTGGTTTTGGTGGAGATAGTGGTATCATAGAATATTATTTGATTTCATTTTTATTTTTAATAATTCTCATAAATTGTAATTTTAATTTTACGATATTTTGATTTAAATATTATGTTATTGTATGTGAAATTTTATGGGCTTAAGTTGCCTGAAATAAACGCATTCCACTTCATTTCATTCATAGCATAGTGACGGCGATGGTGGTAGAACTTCAGGACACCAGCTCATTTCTAACGTCTGATAAAGTTTTATAGTAATTTTACTACACAAATGCGTTACATTAAAACTAAAATAATTTAATAAATAGTTTTAAATTAATTTGGATTGGATAATTTATTAAGGAACTTAAACCTAATAACGTGGATTTTTATATTGACACTATCTAGACATTTAAACACAAACTGGTGATAAATCTCCCACAAAGAAATTCGAGTATTTCAAACTAACATAAACAATTAGACACTTCCTAGAGTACATACACAATTATATTATTGATTTTACAATGATTAAGATAACTTCAAAAAATTTGTTTAACATTCAATGATGACGTCAAAAATTCATCAGATGTATGAATTTCAATTGACAACCGTTACAAAGATTGTACACATAATCAATGTACAAGTCTCTTTAGGCGAATATATCAAATGAGTTTGTAATTTCTAAATAGTGACCCTTATGAATGTTCTTCCCATACAAATAGGCCACATTAGGGATTTGACATTAAAAAACTCTTCTGAACGCATGCTGTGTGTGACGTCATTCGTGGCTAAATGTCCACGCGAACCATAGATTAACACAAAACGATCAGCAATCTATGACGTAATTTAGGAATTAGAATTAATTTATTGATTTAATATACGAAAAGATTCAATGATAAATTTTACCAACAGATTAAATGATCGATTAATTTACAACTCTTATAGCAACTTATTTAATTGCTTTGTTACTGAAGTCAAATTGTCTATTGGAATTTTGATGAATTATATTGATATTTACACGAATATAAACCTAACTTATCATTCATGCTAATAATATGTGACTAATAAAATGACAACTGGTAACAAAAAAAAGTTTCATCAGAGAACAAATCCCTAGATTCAATACAGTTTGTTTGCGATTTGATAACGCGAGCTACGACACCCACTGTTCGTGCAGACACTTCAAATGGTCATAGGCCCGTTTCGTTATGTTCAATCTTGGCTCTATCTCTAAAAGACCGTTCTCGCCTATCAAACTCAAACCGGACAGGCCCAAATACGTGTGCATGGGGTCCGTGCACGTGTCCGGCCATTTCGAGAAACCCCCCACGACCATATCCTGCGTCTCGTACACGTACCTCCTATTGCTGCCGTAGTTCGTCAGCTGTAAAGCGTTCAGTATCTTCAACGAGGCGCCCACCCAGAAACTGTAGCACGTGTCGACCGGCTTATTCGGTCTCCCCTGAAAACCGTCGATTTGCCTGTAAACCAACCAACGCTTCAGACCGTCGATCTGCGCTTCGGATAGCTTGTCCAATTGGTCGGTTAGCGCTAGTGTTGCCAGTGCACAAAACGTCGTACCACCGTGGGATTCTAGCTCGGGACATTGAGCGATGCCATAGTCGTAGCCCTGAAAATAAAGTTACAGTTATTTTAGATTGTAACATCCGTTTTCTTTAGATGTGATGACGTCTGTTAGAAGTACGATATGATTGACAACCCTCCGTACGAATCATTTTAAATTGCCACGCGGAAAAACTCTTTTCATAAAAACAAATAAAAAGCTGAAAATAATAAAATGTCTGCTGCTTTTAGATTATAACATCGGTTTTCCTTAGGGCGCTTTCAGACTACGCTATAATAGCATACAGTATATAGCTCACAGCACAACAATATCGCACACCATACATTGTTATGGACACGTTCAGACTGTACTGTACTTTATATTCTACTACTATATTATACTATAATCTCTGTGAAAGTGCACAAATTCGGGAAAATGAAATAAAGCCGCTAGACGTAACTTCTCAGGATCCTCCAAAAAGTCCACTGAAAAAAAAATTCATCCCATATCATGTCATCTCATTTCATTCCACTCCATATTATCATTATTCATAAAAATAAGAATATAGATTAAAATAAGACATGACTTAAAGGTCTTAGTTACCGGGTCATAAAATCCCTTAAAAAAAAAAGATCAGACTGTGCCTCTTGTAAATAAAACCATACTCACTATAGATTTAATGACGTAATCTGTGGCCTTCTCTATATCGAAGCCGGACCAATCGTTCAATATGTAACTGATACACGCAGCGCAATACACGAACCGCATGTCCGACTCGCAGCCCGACAGGGTTGCCGAGAAGTTCCCTTCGTCCGTCTGCAACGCTTTCACGCCTGCAACACATTTCGACTGACTTAACTTCCTTTTTTTGTATCTTCCGGTGGTAGGACTCTTGTGGGTCCGCGGGGGTAGGCACCACCGCCATGCCTATTTCTGCCGTGAAGCAGTAATGCGGTTCGGTTTGAAGTGTGGGGCAGCCGTTGTAACTACACTGAGACCTTAGAACTTATATCTCAAGGTGGGTGATGCATTTACGTTGTAGATGTCTATGAGCTCCAGTAACCACTTAACACCAGATGGGCTGTGAGCTCGTCCACCCATCTAAGCAACAAAATTTTTAAAAAAATCTTCGACCAGTGTAATTACATAACGTAAAAGTTAACTTGAATTTGTAGGGAGTTGGAAGATCGCCGTTAGCGGCAAACGAATGGAAGCTGTTCCAATTGCATTCAAACTGGAGTTAACGTTGAAACCAATTCTATTATCATCCATCCATCAATCGCATTTTTTTTTAATATAATAAGAATCCGTGTTAAAGTACTATGACGTCACACACATATTCACATCGACGTGACACGACGACATTCAGTCAAGGATGCTCTTATCGTCAAGAACGAACGCAGTTGAATATTTAAAAAAAACATGCAACGTCTGTTTGTTTATTTATGAGTAATCGAACGCTCTCCGAGTTTCTCGAGGCTTATCGCGTCGTGCTTGTTGTGAATTAAACAATTCCAACTACGCTATCATTGTTGACGTCCCGAAGTTCAGTAATGAAAACGATTGAAATGAAACTTCGGTTGTATAATTGTATTTCTTAGTAAGCAGTCTGAGTAAGCGGACAATCAATCCCTCGATCCGTTGTTGAGTATTCACCAAGTCTTGAGATGTGAGTGAGGGCTTCAAACAGAACAGCGTGGATACTTCGCGGAACTTTTATGCTGAATAAAATAACGCTATTCTAAGGAATGAATTTACAATAGGCAGCGGCTTGGCTCCGCCTCTAGCATTGCTGAAATCCATGGGCGACGGTACCCACACAGCATCAGGTGGACGGTTGAATGCCGTCACCGATCTCGAAATTTGACTAGACTAGAATATTTAGAAGCACGGATCGGTCCCGGTGGGTCGCGATTTCGAGCCGGCGGTAGATTCAGCGACTGCCTTTGCTAGGGCTAGTGTTAGCAAATTCGCCAGGTTGAGCCCGTGAGCTCACCTACCCGTCCGATGGAGCTATGATAGCCCCTCGGGCTTATTAGCGTGGGTAGCCAAAACAGATTTTGAAAATATCACGTGGGAGGTGCAACTGTTTAATTATATAACTTGTCATACATTACTGCTTTAAATACTAATTTAGTTGCTGTATAAATTGTTTTTACGTTCGTCAGCAATATGCTCGTCTGCCTACAAGGGCAATAAAAATACAAATTAAAAAACTCAAGCTTATAGATTTCGGTATGCGTGTTACCGGAGCCTATGGACGTGATTTCGTGTAGGGCGTGGCGTTCACATGTTGGCGTATGCGATGGAATCCTCAACTGCATTGGAATAACTAGCTATACCCAAACCGTAACCTTCTATTTAATGGCAGAAATTGATTTGGCACTAACCTGTGCGGTCTTGCAATGTACCTCCTCGGTATCGTTAGTATTCGAATTAGGAATTAGAAACAATGTTATTATTGCCGACCCCACGACCCCAACGCGTAAACGACTCACCCAAAGCGGAACACAAAAACTAATCAATTTCGACGAAGGCAAATTTTACGACACCTCAAGCAACATCGCCGCCCTGTTATTCAGACATCTACGTGAAGAAAAACTTTGTATCCCTTTTTGCGAAAATTGCGCGGACGGAGGAGTATGAAATTTTGCACACTTATAGAGGATATAGAGAAGAAGTGCACAATGCTATTTTTTTTTTAAATAATGCATAAAAGGTACATTAAATCAATAAAGAAAACATTACATACACTACATACCATGTATTTGACGCACACACGCATGCATACTATTTATTGTCAAACTTTTGTTCTTGACGTCTGTGGTCAAATTGAGAATAGATTAAATATTGTTTGTCTTTATTAATATTTTTTTATAGTGTAGCCTTGGCGAAATTTGTGATCATAATAGTGTACAAACTTACAATTCCAATTTCGACTACTGTGGGACCTCTAGTTCTCATTAAAAAGACATCAGTTATAGTTATGAACATTGTCGTAAGTAAATGAAATTATATCTTTGTTTAGAACCATTTATTTGAGACGTTCGTACCTTAATCGGTAATAATGAAATGCTCAGATAAACTACTCCGTGAGGCGACGTAAGGTCGACGTTAAGAGACAGACTTAAACTATTATAGCAAATTTTTAAGTATTTATTATGGAGAATTTAAAGTATAGTCATAGGTTCTCACTCGTTTATAAATAAACTAGCTGTCCCGGCAGACTTCGTAGTGCTTCAATCGATAAATAAAACACCTAAACTTTTGTATAAAATGAACTTAAAACAAACAAAAGGAATCCGTCCGACGGGGGACGACGGGGGACAACACATCAAAGGGAAAACAAAATTGTTATTTTTATTTAATTCCGAGCATTTTCATAGTTATCTACCTTTTAAACCTTCTCTGGACTTCCACAAATAACTTAAGACCAAAATTAATCAAATCGGTCCAGCCGTTCTCGAGCTTTAACGAGACTAACGAATAGCAATTCATTTTTATATATATAGATAGATAGATAGACAGATATATATAGATAAATTAGGATTATAAACGTGTTGATTTAATCACCACATAACTTTAAGGTCAAGGTCAACATGTTCCTCGTGTTATACTTAAGTTATTCGGATAATGAGAACATGTGATTCATTTAGTCACCTAGTAAGTTACCAGATAAGCTCACGACTCACATGGTATTAAGTAATAATAATAACCGGGAACAAGTCGAACCCGGTCATGTGGCCCCAAACTAGGATGAAGTCGTCGTGGCCTAAAGGATAAGACGTCCGGTGCATTCGTATCTAGCGATGCACCGGTGTTCGAATCCCGCAGGCGGGTACCAATTTTTCTAATGAAATACGTAGGTACTTAACAAATGTTCACGATTGACTTCCACGGTGAAGGAATAACATCGTGTAATAAAAATCAACCCGCAAAATTATAATTTGCGTAATTACTGGTGGTAGGACCTCTTGTGATTCCGCGCGGGTGGGTACCACCGCCTTGCCTATTTCTGCCGTGAAGTAGTAATGCGTTTCGGTTTGAAGAGTGGGGCAGCCGTTGTGAACTATACTGAGACCTTAGAACTTATATCTCAAGGTGGGTGGCGCATTTACGTTGTAGATGTCTATGGGCTCCAGTAACCACTTAATATCAGGTGGGCTGTGAGCTCGTCCACCCATCTAAGCAATAAAAAAATGTACAATGGGCATCAGAGACTGATATACTTATATACGTTTAAATATTATATACTATGCATATTATGTACATATATAATAAACATTCAAACAAAGAGCCAAAAAAAGCAAAAAGACCTATTTATCCTACGAATGTTTGCCCGACGTGGGAATCGAACTGACGACCCAGCAGTCAAGGGCGCTAACAAACGTGCAATGTGAATGCCACCATCAACCTTGATCCAAATCTCAATTGTATTGTATAATACAACGGCTGTTCTATCTTTCGGAATGCATGACTGTTTTTTTTTAATTTTTTTTGCTTAGATGGGTGGGCGAGCTCACAGCCCACCTGGTGTTAAGTGGTTACTGGAGCCCATAGACATCTACAACGTAAATGCGCCACCCACCTTGAGATATAAGTTCTAAGGTCTCAAGTTTAGTTACAACGACTGCCCCACCCTTCAAACCGAAACGCATTAATGCTTCACGGCAGAAATACGCAGGGTGGTGGTACCCACCCGCGCGGACTCACAAGAGGTCCTGCCACCAGTGCTTCAATTCAACCTTCTACCAAGGCAACCTAACCCATAGACACAGCCCACTGAGTTTCTCGTTGGATCTTCTCAATGGGTCGCGAATCCGATCCGGTTGTAGATTCTGCGATGTAGATTCTGCACTGCTCTTGCTAGGGCTATATTAGCAAATTCTCTCAGGTTGAGCCCGTAAGCTCACCTAGCAATCCGGGCGTAACTGGAATAGGCCCCTAGGCTACCAGCGAATAGGTAGGGGGAAAAAATAGGCACGCACACACGAAAATATGTCTAGAGATAACTTAGATAATCCCTACAACAAACAATCAACTTACCTTGAATTAAGGCTGTTCTGTTGATTCTCGACAGGTCATCGCCCAACGCCAGCAGTATACACAGACCAGTGTACGTCATCGCTAGATGGCCGCATCGAAATTGATTGTTATCCGGATCCAGTCTTATGTTTATCGTTGAGGAGCCTTGGAAGCCGCATAGTGACATGTCGCCCGCTGTAAATCGTTAGAACTTCTAAAAACACTTAAATCTCCGTAATTATCTACCCCAAAAGCTGTAAGGCTCAAAAGATTTCGTTGAAGAAGACAGTGGCGTTATAGTAGTTGAGAGAGAGGCAAGGCAGAGTACACGCTTGAGGTTTATCCCGCATGAGGGGAGCAACGCCCTCCCTGATCATATTTATAGGTCCTGTCTGCCGACAGCATGGATCGCGGAAAACGATGCTATACTTCTGCAACTTAAGCTTGTCAGAGAGGGCCGCTAATCGTGAGGAGGTGGGGGCAGGGTTTAAGATTTCAATCGGCCATCTGTACGTAGCTGCTTTAGATGTGTTCAATATTGTTTATGGAACCGGCAAAGGGTTTTACGTTCTCGTTCTATGTATTGTCATTACTATGCAGAGGAACGTGATGACAAAAAGTCGCGTTGCTGATCTAAGCTAGTTGTAACAAAGCGGATTCAACTTCCTCAATGAAAGAAGCTGCTGGGTCTTAGATTGGGTGTTTGCTAATGACCCGACTATTCATGTTAGTTTTTAAGAAAAAGTACGTAATATCTCGGTGTACTTAGTTCGTATTTGCGATAGATACACATAAAAATCCTAGCTCGCGGCGGCCGCTTTTACAGGTGGTCGTCCTGGTAAGGTGCTTGTGAGCCCGCACGGTAAGGTACCATCCCGTTGCCTATTTCAGCCGTGAAGCAGTAATACGTTTCGATTCGAAGGATGGGGCAGCCGTTGTATCGTAAAAACAAAGGCTTGGAATTGATGTCCCAAGGTGGGTAGCAGTATTTACGTCGTTAAAGACTATGGACTCCGGTAACCACTTAATAATAACAAAACAAAACTTGTAAGACGTTTAACTTTGTCTATTCAGAATTTCAATCAACTGTAATAAGTTCCAATGCAGTGAGTAAATTCTGCAAGATAACCTATCAAGCATTCATTCGGTAAGGTAAATATTTAATCAGATGCTTACTTAAAGTACGAGGTGAAATTCCAACTAAGTTTAACGTAGGTATATAACCGCAGCATTATAATTATTTTCTGGTACTTTGTTATTATAAAGTTTCTGTATTAGCAAACTGGGAAACAAAGAACAAGAAAAATCATATATAAAAGACGTCCATACATAATGTTTCGTCTTTACGGTCAACAATCTGTAGATATATTGACATTACTCATGGCATTGTTGTCAGAAACTGCTTGAGAATTAGCCTAGATAGGAATTCCGCTAGATGCAAGTATGTTCGGTAAGGAATATGAATTTCATATTAAATTTAATATTCTATTAAGCATGTGATAAAACTATATATCTTTTTAACATTTCTGACTGGTGGTGGGACCTCTATTTTTTTTTTATTGCTTAGATGAGTGGACGACCTCACACAGCCCACTTGGTGTTAAGTGGTTACTGGAGCCCATAGACATCTACAACTTAAATGCGCCACGCATCTTGAGATATAAGTTCTAAGATCTTAGTATAGTTACAACGGCTGCCCCACCCTTCTAACCGAAACGCATTACTGCTTCACGGCTGAAATAGGCAGGGAGGTGGTATCTATCCGTGCGGACTCACAAGAGGTCCTACCACCAGTGAAAAGTGGTGCTCTAGCGAGTCTGCACGGGTAGGTACTACCACCCCGCCTATTTCTGCCGTGAAGCAGTAATGCGTTTCGGCTTGAAGGGTGGAGCAGCTGTTGTAACTATTAACTATACTGAGACCTTAAAACTGATATCTCAAGGTGAGTGGCGCATTTACGTTGTAGATGTCTATGGTCTACGGTAACCACTTAACACCACGTGGGCGGTGAGCTCGTCCACCCATCTAAGCAATAAAAAAAAACATGCTTAAATAAGCAGACTAAACGACAGCTCTCCTAATATTTAGCCTATGTCTAATCACAAAATCAACAAACCGAAGTATTTTATGTACATGGCACTCCCTTGATACATGTGACGAATTTACGTAACTAAGTGAAAATTGCAAGAACAAATTGATTATAAAACTAAATAGAATTTCGATAAGTATGCTCTATTCGAATATAAATTGTAAACAAAAATACATTTAAGGATTGGGACGCCAATCACCACCGTCCTTTTAAATTAAAAGTGATAATAAAACAATTTGGTTTGCATAACAAAATCGACTAACATTTTGACAATTAAACCGGTTTCTTTTTAATTGATTTGTCAATTGCGACTAACTGAATTCAAACCTCTTCTTCTTTTTCTCCACCTTATCCCACTAGGCGGGGTCGGCACAGCTAATTTTTCTCTGCCATTCTCTTCTATCAGCCGTCATCTCAACACACCTCTCTCTCTCATATAGTCATTCACACTCTCCAACCATGTCTTCATCGGTCGACCTCTTCCCCCTCTACCTTGCACCATTTACATCTGCTAGTCACATGCATCTTCTCTCTACGGATCACATGTCCATACCACGCTAACCACCACGCTAACTGAATTCAAACCTAACAAAATAAATTAGGTTCATATAATATGCATATTTATTTCATTATATAACTAATTGCTTTTACGTTTATCATACAAAAACGTAGTCATTACATAATACCGCTTCGTTCTGAAATTATTGTTTTTTCCTCTACCAGTTCTCTGAGTGAGATCGCTTTTTACGAACATAATCGGACTTACTGTTTTTATTTTTGATTATGATTACAATAATCGAAATAATAATGCCAACACGACCGTACCATACATTACATATGATTTTCAATATTACTGGTGGTAGGACATCTTGTGAGTCCGCGCGGGTAGGTACCACCACCCATTTCTGCCGTGAAGCAGTAATGCGTTTCAGTTTGTAGGGCAGGGCAGCCGTTGTAACTATACTTGAGACCTTATATTTCAAGATGGACGGCGCATTTACGTTGTAGAACTCTATGGGCTCCAGTTACCACTTAATACCAGGTGGGCTGTGAGCTCGTCCACCCATCTAAGCAATAAATAAATAAAATGAAAGCTGTGGCCAGTGAGTGCAACAATCGTTTGAAATCGCAATCAAACAAGGTTCAAGCGGTTGCCATAAGCATAATAATATAAACACTACGCGACATTTTGAGACTACAGATATAAAACAGAAATACGTAATCGCTTCTCTACGCAAATAAGCAGTACCATCAACCCACAAAGTTTCCCGCCGGATCTTCGTAGTGGGTTGCGATTCCGACCCCATGGAAGATTCAGCGAAGCACTGCTATCTAGGGCCAGTGTTAGCAATTCTCTCAGATTGAGCCCGTGAGCTTCACATACCGGTTCGTGAATAGTCGGAACAGCTCCTTAACCTACAACGACTAGGTAGAGACAAAAAATCAGTACCGTAGTACAAACATAGAGCACATACAGCAAACCTACGACATAAAGAAATAACTAAAGTGATATTGATTAATCAGATTTTTCCACGTGGAATACAATATTTACTATCTACATATTATGTATATTTAAAAGAACAAAAACGGAAGACTGTTCAAATAAACTTGATAAACACGTTAATAAAGATTTATTTATGATGCCTAATGTGTTTTATTGCACGTATTATAATGTTTGTAAATGGTGGAATTTGAAAATACGTCGGCTTTATTTTTTTTCGTGCGCCTAAATGTATCGAAATTAGACATTAAAATCATATAAAATGGATGGAAACTTTACAATTGTAACTATTTCAAACAGGAAGTAATATAAATTGTACAGTATTTATTAGCCAGGCCAGAAAAAAAAAATTGTTTGTACGGGTGTACGACCTCACAGCTCACCTTTTGAATAGTTATCAGAGTCCAGAGACATCAACAACGTAAATGCCGCGAGCCAAACCTTGAGTCAAACATTCTAAGTCACAGTTCTTTAATACAATGGCTGACACAACTTTCAACCTGCTTGCAGGCAGTAATAGGAAAGGTTTATGCTACCTACCCATGCGAAATCAAGACAACCTTTGTTTTTCGAGTGGGGGGCCGTATCCGCGCCTAGGGTTGCCCCAAGCAGGGTATGCGGGACTTGACGGCATGCAGATGTTGGGAGCAAACCGCGGGCCCAAGTAGTTTTAGGACCCTACCGCACCAAACGACTCCCCTTGCACTCTCACACCTGACGTATAATCTCCGCCCGGGTTCAGAACCCGGTCAGACCCGGTAGAGGACTTCCCGCGGTCAACACTACAACGAGACTCGCGGTCCCACCCCTGACACCCCTGACCGATGGTTCATCGAGGCGATAGTCGACTACCAACCACGCCGATCCGCGCGCAAAAATTGGTACCTGCCTGCCGGATTCGAACACCGGCACATTCACATCGATCGATATGAATGAACCGAACGACTTATCCTTTAGGCCACGACGCCTTTTGTGTTAGTTCCACTTTCGTGTGACTTATTCTTCTAATCTTTTTTCTAAAACAATTTTTATTTGGAGTGAAATGCTCCACTTCAGTGGCAACCTCATTTATATGTAGGGTAATGAATTCAACAAAGCAATCATTGAAAGATATTAACACAAAAATGTGAAAAATTTGATCGTGTACAATTTGATACATGATTTACCTAGTCAGGTCATAAATTCTGTCACATGTTTAATGTAAAATAATTGAAACAAGTTTATTCATTATGTAACCATTCATATACCAAAATGAACTTAACAAAACATAGATTCTTATGACACTAAAGTTTATTCAAAATGACCTCCGTGATTTTGAATACAGGCCTTCAATCTGCGCGGCCAGTCGTCTATCGCAGCACGAACGANCGTGCTGCGATAGACGACTGGCCGCGCAGATTGAAGGCCTGTATTCAAAATCACAGAGGTCATTTTGAATAAACTTTAGTGTCATAAGAATCTATGTTTTGTTAAGTTCATTTTGGTATATGAATGGTTACATAATGAATAAACTTGTTTCAATTATTTTACATTAAACATGTGACAGAATTTATGACCTGACTAGGTATAGATAGATATATAGATAAATTAGGAGTATAAACGTGT